GCAAATCGAAACGGATCCAAACCGGAAACAGCGCGCTAAACTGCGGGTGAGTCCTTTTATTTGAACAGCAACGTCCTATTCGCACCACAAAAACTGCTCATTTGGAGCTTCATCTTGAAAGCAAGTGTGACCCATCCTAAAACTATCAGTAAGGCCTGTCTCAGAATAAGCTATCAATTCTGGCAATAATATACCGGCACATACAGAAAACGTTTTGATGCGCTCAATCCTATTTCCTCTCAACAAAGGCAAGAGATGAAGTCTTCATTAATGCGTTCACAATTAATCTGTGTACGATTGAGCGAATTTGAACTCAAAAATTCTCTTTCCCCTCACTTTTTTTGCGACCGCTGCATCCGAGCCTGTCCGTAAGGTGGAGTGCGGTGTACGTAAGTTTCTGCGTCTTCCAGTTTTCACCGTATGCGTTATTTGAAAAAATGCTTGATGCGGTGGATTTTGGAAGTGTAGAGGCTGCTGTCATTAGTCTGTGCTATCGTTAACACTTTACAAAGCATCGTGTAATTCTTTTTTCCAAACGTTAAGGAGTTTAGTTCCATTAGTAGGTTTGTTAGTTTGGATCTGTTTAACTAAAACTTTCTTTGCAATCATGCATATTTAAACAGTGGTGTTCGATGAGAATAATTGCTAGGATTTCAGGTAAAATTATGGCGCTCATCAATGGAGCTCTGCGACCGTTGGATGCCGGAAAATTTATTGTTGAACATGGAAAGTTGATCAAAATCAATGAGGACGGTGTACAGCGTGTTGCCAAAATGGTAATATCTAGTTTGCTCGCGTTCTTCACTGACTTTTGAGACTTTTTTCTGGTTAGATTTGTTCTGTTGTTTATCTAGAATTTACCCTTTTTGCATGCACTTGCACTTACTAACGTTTAAGATCTACGATGCTGCAAAAGATGGCACAATTGCAGAAGTGCAATTTTCTGCGCATGCTGTGCATCCAACGGGCAAGGGTAAGGCAGTTGTTGATTGGTAAGTTGTGCAGCTGCCTTATTTCGTT